GGACCTAACAAGGGACCCTAATTTAGAGAACTGCCCATATATTAAAAGAATAACACCCTTACATGACTGTTTATCGTGTTTTACACACCTTAAACCGAATGGGCCACTGGCACAAATCTGGGGCCCTACCTCTGCTGCAGTTTGGATTTAGGGCTAAGGGCGGTGTTTGTTTGTGTTCCATTATTCTTTGTTGTTTTACTTTAGGGCTCAGAGTTCAGGGTTAACGTGGGTTTCTTGATGATTTTCGGGGGCTCTTTGATGATATAAATCCTGCATTTCCCACAATAAGGAATGCACCACAATTTCCATAGTTTAGGGTCCTTAAGGTAATGCTAAGGGTTTATATCATCAACCGTATGAGGTGCTTCGGGTCTTTGAGGCATGTAAGTATGGCTTCCCCAGACCCCCGGGAGGATCTAAAAAGTAGATTTTTTCGAAAAAAGGGACCCTCACTACTATAAGGGGTACTTTATAAAAGCCCCCTTAAGAGATCTATGTTTTTTGAAGTCATTCCGGTGGTTTGGGGTCCGTGTGCTTCTTGGAGTTTCGGATTCCGTCAGGCGCCTCATCGAGGCTTTTGATTTTAAGGCCGAAGGAAGGCTAAACCCTAAACCCTAAACCCCTAAACCCTATAAGCCCTAAACCCTAAGACCTTTTTGGGGGGAGTTCTCCTCTGGGCGCTTTCTGGGTGTCTTTATTTTGGGGGTATGGATACGTACAAGCACCCTAAGCGGGTGTTTTACAAAACGGTCTTATAGCGTCGACACTTCGTGGCTACCTGTGTCGCTCAGGTTACTCCAGCCCCACCTACGTGCTTGCGAAGGGCATCTGCAGCGTGCAGGCTCTCGTGTCCAGCCTCAAAATGGAGTCTACTCATAGGCTCCTAAGTAGTTCCTTGTTATGGTTCATATTTGGAATCCTTCAAGGTAAACCCAAAAAGGAACTACTGCCTATGGGTAGAGTTACCCCTTTAGATTCGCTTTTTCTGGCCTGTCTCTAAACCCCCGAACCGAAACCTTCTGTCAAGGCGAACACGTGAGAACGTGGGCTGAGCATGGCAGCGCATGCTTCAAGTCTCTGTCGCGTCTTTGATCAACCTGCAGGAGTAGATTCTAAGGGCGTTTTTTGTTTGTGGAAATATGCAGGTGCTAAGCGCGAAATGCGGCCATGTTTGTTACTCAAGTCGACCAGATGTCTCATGTAGCACCTGTCAGACAATGATCAGACGGAACCTGGTAATTATGATGCTGAGTTTCGCTTCTAGAGTACAGGGCCTGAAGCCCATGGCCTCAGGGCTCCGTAGGTGTTCTATGTGGCATGAGGCTGAGAGTTCTCTACTCTATGGATCCCTTTTAAGGCTCTCTCAACCTAAACCCTAAACCCTAAACCCAATTAAACCCTAAACCCTAAACCTAATTAAACCTTAAACCCTAAACCTAATTAAACCCTAAACCCTAAACCCTAAGCCCAAACCCTAACCCCCTAAATTTACGAAAAGGCTGCGCCATGGAGGCTCGGGCCTGGATCGCTTTCGCCCTCCGACGTCTTCTAAGGCAGAAAAGCCTTCAAAAGCTCGCAGGATCCCCAAAAGAGCTCCTTGAAGGGGCCCCCACAGAGCCCAATACCCCTTAATTTCGGAATATACCTTAAATTATAGGGGGCTTAATATTCTGATTTAAAGTATAAAAGGGCTCCTTGAAGGGGTCTATTGGGTCCTCTTGAGGGTTCCTGTAGTTCCCACAGTTTTATGGGATGTTGCAGGGTTGTGGCTGGGTTTCACAGCTACGGCCACGTCGACGAAGGACGACTCCTCAAGTTTAGCATGTGGGTGTCTTTGGTAGTCCTACCCTGAGGGTCCAAGCACTCCTAACTTTACGACTTGATCAGGTATATTGTTTCGGGCACTCAACGCCGTGCGTGTAGCCGACTCGTACCCTTAGGTTGAGGATATTCCTTAGTGAAGATCCTTCCCCTATAAATACGTAGTTACAATAATTACAAAGACATTATAGCAACAATGGATCCCCGGACTGTGTTAGAATGTAAAGGGGCTCTTCAAATCCCATCCGTTAGCCCCTTGACAAGAACTCTGGACTAGTGAGTACCGAGCAAGTGAAATTCAAGCTTCGTGTCATTCTGGTACCTGAACCTTTAAAATCCGAGCCGAACGGCGAGCCTTTTAAGTAAGTAGTACCTGGTAGCCTTCCAGCACCCTTTTAGCAAGCAGCCTTGCAGTACCCTTACACCTCCTAGGACCCTCATAATCGCTTTGTCGCGCCCTTATAAAAACTCCAGTAGTACGTCATAACAAGTTTCTCGAAGCCACAAGACAAGCCTCTGTAACAACCTTATTACCCTAAGGGTCCATTTACCCAAATAGTATATACTTTGGCCTTAAAGTAGTCCCTATATAGGTACTTTGGGGCAAAAGTGTATGCTATTTGGGTACATGGACCCTTAGGGAACAAGACACCCTATACGATCAGGCAGTGGAAGGCCTCCGCCGTGGTTTGTCTCGTGGCCGCTTGCATTGCGGCCTCTTGACTGGTCTTGAGAGGAGTGTTTAAAGTCACGGCTTTGATCCCTAAACCCTGAAGCCTAAACGCCGAAACCCTAAACCCTAAAGGCCGAAACCCTAAACAGTACAACCCTAAAGCCCGAAGCCCTAAAACCCAAAAGCCCTAAACCCGAAACGCCTGAACCTAAACTCCTACTCCCCAAAACCCTAAACTCTAAACCCTATCGGAGCTCAACCCTGGAGCCTTCTGGGGCAGTTCTCTAAACTAAGGTGCCGCTTAAAGGGTCCTTTGTACAAAGGCGCCGTGCTATATTGGGGACCCACAAAGAGACCCCCGAAGTTTCTGCTGAGAACTACTCTTATGCACCCTAATGGTGTATACATGATTGGGGACCCGAAAAGAGAACCCCGGATTTTTTCTGAGAGCTACTCTTATGTACCCTCATGGTGTAGGGGATTTGAGGGCTTGGGGCTGTACCATAGGCTGCTCGAAGCAACACAACTAGTGGGAAGTAGAAGTAGGGTCTCGATATATGAGGCAGAAGTCGTTAAGTGAAAGTACTCCCCTAACACGAGGATCCTGGTATGTGCGATTGTGTATCTCCTTTTGGGGCTCTTAATGGCCGTCTGCAAATTGGCTTCGTTTTTTTGGCATTGGGGGGAAGGGTGATGTAGTCCTACCATGTTTAGTTTATTTTAGGTTCAACGGTTGTCTGATGACGGACTCAGCAACCGGAGAATCAACACATCTTGATGCCCCCCGAAACTCCGAAACCTAAGCACAGACGTCTACGTCTTAAGCTCCACGCACTATACCTAAACCCAAAACCCTACACCCTAAACCCTAAACGGCCCTAAACCTAAACCCTATACACCTTAAGCCCTGGGACCAACACCCAAACCCTCAACAGCAAGCCCTCAGCCATAAGCCCTAAACCTATACGGTTTAGGGTTTGGGGTTCTGGGTTTAGGGTTTGGGGTTTTGAGTTTGGGTTTGGGGTTTAGGGCTTAGGGACTTTAGGGTTTGGGGTTTTGGGTTTAGGGTTTTCGGTTTAGGGTCAAACCCAAGCCCTCAGGCCCTTGACCCTAGACCGGAATATAGCCTCCTGTCATGCAGCCTGAGCCCTGTAGCCTGAATACTTGGCGACACTCTCCCCTCGGGTTCCTGCAAATACTTATACCCCGCCCCACAACCCGATTTCCCAGCATGAAGCTTCAGACCCCAAATGCTACATCCTTAAGGCCTTCATTCTCGAATCCCGAAGCCTAAACCCTAAACCCTATAAACCTTACAACCTCAAAGCCTCATTCCAAGCCCCCATACCTTGCCTAAACCTCCTTTGAGAACCCCCAGGTCTTCCGCGCACTCCCCTCTCTCCGGGCCCCACGGGCAGAGCCATCGGAGAAGCAGAAGTCGTCTCTGGGCTGTTATTGAGCAGAGTTTTCGAAACCCTAAGCCCTATAAGCCCTAAGCCCTATACAGAGGGCGGCTCTAGGGTTTCACCTAAGGGTCCATGTGCCCAAGTAGTATATATTCTTTGGCCTTAAATCTAGGTATAGTCCCTATATAATGACATAGTTATCATAATTGGGGCCAAAATATGTACTATTTGGGTACATGGACCCTGTGGGTTGGGGGGGGGATTAAGTTACTAGCGGAGCATAGCTCGAGTGTAGGGTTCGGGGATAGGTGCGGTCTTGTGCCTCTAGTTTGGGTTTAGGGTTTAGGGGTTAGGGTTTAGGGTTTTGGTGAAGTTTGTTTTCAGAACTCAGCATTCCAGTTTCCAGAACGAAGAACCAGAAGCTAGATCCTTTCAATTTGGCTTGTTCCAGCAGCCTCTGACTGAAGCCCCGAACCGCCAAAAACCAAGGCCAAATATACCGCAATGACCGGTTTGGGGAATCCTTACACCAGCCATGCCCTACTTTCTATGTGCAGGTCTTGTCGGCCTGCAGCCGTTGGAACAACTGTATGAAGTCCTAGCACGTCTAGATCTTGAAAACACATCCTGTACATCTCCAAAACTTACAAACTACCCTAAACCCTAAACCCTAAACCCTTAAACCAGAAACCCTAAACCCAAAAAACTAGGCCACCTTAGGTCCCACAACAAGACCTGTAGCAAGTCTGTAAACCGCAGACAACCTCAGACAAACCCTATAGAACCCTAATTATGGAACCTTCAACACACCGAAAAAAGAGAAACCCAAAACTGCAAACCACCGCAGGCACCTGAGAACGACAACAACTATAAATTAGACCCCCCCTAAAAAAAACCGCCCTAAGCCTCTCCCCCCCTCCTCAAAAACAAACTTTATAAGCCCTAAACCCGGAAACCCTAAACCCCGAAACCCCTAAACCCTGAATCCCTAAACCTCTAAACCCCTAAACGCCTAAACCCCTAAACCCCTAAACCCCTAAACCCCTAAACCCTAAACCCCTGAACACCCCTAAACCCCTAAACCCTAAACAAGAGAAAAGGATCTCGGACCCCATCTTTGGCACCGTGGTCTACTCCTATGCAAGGCTCTCGGAATCCTGGGAGGACTTTTTGGATGCCTTTCAGCGCCTTCGTTCTCCAATGGTACTACGGTTTAGGGCTTAGGGGTTTAGGGCTTTGGTTCTAGGGTTTAGGGTTTAGGGGTTTGGGGTTTAGGGCTTAGGGGTTTAGGGTTCATAGTACTACTGTTGATGATATAAGGTCCCTTTTGGGGTCCTTATTACAAGGGTTTAGGGTGTTAGGGTTTAGGGTTTCAGGGTTTAGGGTTTCGGGGTTTAGGGTTTATAGGGTTTGTTTTTGAGTCTCCAATAGTACTACTGTTGATGATATAACTCCTGCATTACCTTAAGGACCCTAAACTATGGGAGTTATAGTATATTCATTATTAAGGGTAATGCAGGATGTATATCATCTCCAATAGTACAACGGTTTAGGGGTTTTAGGGGTTTGGGGGTTCAGGGTTTAGGGTTTAGGGTACACGTTCCATTACGTTAAGTTTAGGGTTTAGGCTTTAGTATTCAGGCTTTAGGATTGAAGGTGCAGTGTAGGATCTAGAGTTTAAGTGCTGTAGCTCTTTACATTACGTGCTTTAGCTCTTTATCATCTGTCCTTCCAAAGAAGACAAGATTTGACAACGATCCAAAACATCACACCAAAAACAAGCACTATTCCAACACTTAATGCAGCGGGTTTATATACGAGAAGAACCTCGGTCTCTTGGTGTTCCGACATCCATAGGGCTTATGGTTGAGCGGCTTGCGAGAGCCTTATGCTTGTATATACTCTCTCGCGTCCCCAACACCTCAAAAGTCCTATTACAGCCTGCAAGCCCTACGCCAGAACCCGTCTAAAACCGCTATAAACCCTTGCCAGACCCCCACGAAAAGGAACACCCTATACCCTAAAAACCACCGGAACACAAACTTAAAACCCTAAGCACCAAAACCTCAAAGCCAACAAACCCTAGCTCAAGAGAAAGGTTTCCGAAGGGCTCTCCTATTCGTCAACACATCCGGCAGCTCTTCTCGCGTGAGGAGTGGGGTCCCAGAAGGGTTCCCTCATGGTGTTTTACCGTTCCTTGTAAAAGGGTGCCTTCGACAAAAACATCTATAGCGGTTTCAGGGTGTCGGGGCTTCGGGGCTTCAGTCTTACTCTATTCTAAGCTTCGCGGCTCAGGGGCCGACAGTTTAGGGTTTAGTCAGATGGTTTGTTGCAGGGAGGGACACCAAGGCCAAGCGCGATGTCAATCGCCACCTAAGACAGGCCAGCACTAGCAGTGATCCTGCAGCTCTTGAAACGGCAGGAACCAAGACATGCTGAAGAAGTTAGTGTGCTGCAGAAAAGTGGAAGCATGTGGAGACTTCGGCTATGCTAGGACCCGATTCTAGACCCTGGCACCCTGCTATAGCATTTCCCAAAATGTAACCCTTCGGGTCCATGTACCCAAATGTAGCATAAACTTTGGCCCCAAAATACCTATATAGGGACTACTTGAAGGCCAAACTATATACTATTTGGGTACCTGGACCCTTAGGGTTAAGAAGAACCCATGTCAGGACCTGGACGCACAGTTCCAGAGGCTTTTCGACGTCTTGTGCACTGGATCAACAATGAACCGTCACGACTTCGAACACTTCAGCCGTGGTATCCAGGGGCATCTGCACATTCTCACCGACAAGAAGACGAAGATCGCGCTGCTGTCGCCGACACAGGAGGACCTACAGTGGATCGCAGCAAACTTCGAGAAAGCCTTCCCGGAGGAGCGGCCACTGAACCGGCAGAACTTTCCGGACGTCGCGAAGCTCGTGCTCTTACGCCGTGTGGTCCGGACGCTCATCGAGTTTGTTGGTATCTAGGTACCCCAGTAGTACCCTTTTGACCGTTTTAGTTTGGGGTCCCCTTCTTAAACCCGAATAATAAGAAAAAGCGTACCCCTATTATCAAGGGGTTACTGGGGACCCTAAACCCTGTAATTCAGGAATAGTATACCTTAAATCATCGTATTAAGGCCCCTATAATTAAAGGGGAACCCTAAACCCTAAACCCTAAGTACCCTAAACCCTAAACCCCAAGTACCCTAAAATTTGGGAACCTAGGTATCGACCACATCCAGGGGGGTATGGCTGCTCCTTTGGTGGTCGATATCGCTGTGAACCTGGGATCTGCAAAGGGTCCCCCGTTTCGAATCCACACCGTGGCGCCGAGCTCGCGGCCAACCCTGGAAAGCGGCGAAAGACTCAACGCCATCTCCGAGTAGTCGAAAACGGGCCGGCATTTTCTGTGGTGTGTGTGTGTGTCTGCATATCTATGCAAGCTTGCCGGCGAGAGTGTAGATTATCCTGCAACTGTAAGTCTAGCGTATGCCTGTCTGCCGGGATGGATGGATGCATGCATGGATGCATGGATGGATGGATGGATGCATGGGTGGATGCGTGGCTGTATGTGCATGTGTGAATGTGTATGTGCATGCGCATGCTTGTGATGCGTATGTGTATGTGTAGATGTAGGTTAGATGCAGCTTTGGTATAGGTGTAGGTGTCTGTGTATGTATGTAGCTATATGTATGTATGTATGTATGTATGTATGTATGTATGTATGCATTTTGATAATTTTGGTAGTCATAAGTGTGTTTATGTGCATTATGTAGACAATGTTCGAGGCTCTCTCACACACACACACAAAATGCAATGGGGTGAGACCGAGCGACACAGAGAAAGCGAGCAAGACATCTGTCTGTGGGTGGCTGTCTGTGTGTGTTTGTGTTTGTGTTTGTGTTTTTTCGGTGCAAACAGCCAAACTCAACACATACCCCCAACTGCGTCTGCTATCCTGCAGCACCGCGTGGCGGCACATCAAGGTCACTAGTAATGCCTGTTTGCCTGTTTATGTTAGGGTTGCATTGGGGGAACCTAGCGGACTGTAAGAAATTACAGATCGCGGCAACTACAGGTTTGTGGTTGATGAGTCGCCTTTATGTCGGCGTGGTTCCCGAGGACTCCACCTAAGTCTAGGTTCCCCAGTAGTGCCCTTTTGCCCTTTTTATTTGGGGGTCTCCTTATTCAAGCCCACTATTGGGAAAAGGGTACCCTTATTGTTAAGGGGTTACTGGGGAACCAAAAAGTAGTAGGTAGGTTACTGGAGCACAAAAACGGTGGTTGGCACCTACTATTTAGGTGGCTGGAGCTCGCAGGGGTTTTACTACACGACGGAACCCGCTTAATGAGTGGTCTTAGGGTTTAGGGTTTAGGTCCTGGGTTTAGGGTTTAGGGTTTAGGGGCTTAGGTCATGAGGCCCTACGAGAAAGTCTGAAAAGTTGCGACAGGGATTAGGAGGATTTGTGTTCGGAGTCTGTGAACTCTACGTTGTAAACCCGAACGAGCACGTGAGTTCTTGCTAAGCAACTCAATTCTGAGGGCATGATAAGGGCTGATGGCGGCAAGATACAGTTTTTTGTTTAACGCCGAGCTTCAAGCAACTGTATAGCCTGAGATACCAAGTCAAGGGACCCAACTGCTGTTTATGCTAGAAATCCTTAATTACCATGATACTGTTGATGATATAAATCCTGCATTACCTTAAGGACACTAAACTATGGGAATTGTGGTATATTCCTTATTATGGGTAATGCGGGATTTATATCCCTAAACCCTGAAACCCTAGACCCTAAACCCTAAAAACCTAATGCATCACCTAAACCCTTAGGGGTAATTAGCCCAAAGCCATAGAGCCCAATGCATGGTATGTCAAGGTAACCTCCGAGAGTCCCATACCCGAATTGTGTTGACCTGTACTTGCCCTTGGTTTGCAAAGCACAGGATCTAGGACATTTTCAGGTGGGTAGTTACCGTTGTAGGAGCCTTATAGAAGGTCCATGTACCTTACAGAACCCTTATAGAAGCCTTATATACCCCTAAACTCCCCACCTGTAGTTTCCATTAGCAGGATGGAGACACCGATTAGAGGGTCGGCCCCCATGTTGCGGATATGTACACTGCTGGCCGGAGCCTGTTATCAAAATCTGTGCAGAGACCAGAGAATCTGGTCGAGTTGCCGGAATTAGCCGTTTAAGGCGAACACTTGGGGCTAAGCTGCCCTGCAAGGTGCCTGGCGCCTCTGCTGTTTCGCAGCGGACAGAAATGTGCTGGTAAACCCTAAACCCTAAACCCGAGGGTTTGAGCCGCATCAGCCAAAACTGCTGCTCCAGCACTTACCTCAGAAGGGGCTCATGACGACGCTGTAAGAGCTGGTTCGACGCCTCCTTACACCTAGAGACTCCAATATCCCTTAATTAAGGAATATACCTCAATAGGAGCCCCAATAAGATTTAAGGTATATTCCTTCATTAAGGGAACTACAAACCCTACAAAGCCTTATAAAACCCTAAACCCTAAGGTATACATTCCTTAATTGAGGTATATTGGAGTCTCTGGATTACAGCCAGACCGGCGCGGGGGTGACCAGCTCTGCGGCCCAGGTAATGCCGGACATGCTGAACTTCGCACCCCCCCTGTTAGGGTTGAGGGTTTAGGGACCACGTGGAGGTGGCGGATCGCTGCCCCCCTTTAGAACCCAAAATGCCCCCTTTTATGTCCCTTCATGAAGGAAGATGCCTGAAATTTATCGGGGCCTAATACTGTGGCTTAATCCCTAAACCCCCAAACCCCTAAAGCTCCTCAAACCCTAATCTTGGCTCGTCCCCTAAACCCTAAACCCCTCAACCCTAAAACCTCTCAAACCCCAATGTAGGCTCCTCAATTAAGGGGTTTTTGGGCTCTCTGGGCTTTTCGGGTCTACGAGCAATAAGGAGCACACTATTGTTTGTGCTGTATCCCCAGTTATTGTAAACCCTAATCCCTAAGCCACAAGAGCCCAGGTAAAGGGAAGCGCCGGCTTCGGTCAGATCGCTGCTTGGTAAGCTTGGGGGTAGTGGCCGGGGTTGAGGGGCTTCTAGATTTATGACGTGGCTTTTGTGATTATTGTGACAAGCTTTACTAGGCCTTTAGAGAGGGTTGGCCCAATATGGAGGGCACCGATCAACAAGGTCACGCCACTGTTGGTGGCCTTTGGCGGTTTGCAGCAGGAAATGTGCGTGTAATTCACGCATGGCAGTGTTTGCGCGTTGAGAGGTTTTTTCCGTATTTAGGAAATGAGCTGTTTTGAGCGCGGTGTGATGTCAAAAGTGTCATGCTTGCCAGTGTTTTCATTGCTTTTAGGTTTTCATGTCAGGGTGTGTTTTTGTTTGTGTTGTATTGGCGTTTGGAAGCCGGGAAAGCGTTGAAGGTTTTATGGTTTTATATTAAATCTCAAGCTCCACGTGGGTAGGCCCCACAACCCCGAAGGAAGGAAAGAAGGAAGCCCACAGGTAGCCAGGGCGGGGCGTCCCAAAAAGGAGAAGGAAGCGATGAATGGAAAGATGCCCACAGGTAGGCCACGGCCACGGCCAGGGCGCAGCCAGGGGGGCCCCCCCAGAAAAGGAAACGAAGGAAAGAAGAGAACCATGCCTACAAACAGGTTGTGGCCCAGCCACAAAGGCCGCAGGGTTTCGGGCATGGCGTATCGACAACAAGAAATAGTCGCTTGACCCGACAGTGACTGCAAACAAGCCATGTTCGACCTGCGCATCAGCCAAATCATAACTGTCGGGGACGTCCTCGTCCAACATCAGCGTCATCCTCATCATGAGCGTCATCGTCATCGTCATCCTCAACATCATCATCATCATCATCATCATCATCGTTATCAGCATCTCAAGCAGTCGTCAACCATGTCGTCATTCGCCTGTCCCCCACCCCACCCCGCCCCACCCTCCCCCCGAAGAAGCTGATAGTTAGTGCAATCCCCGCTAACAGTGGCGTGAGCATAAACAATAGACAGATCGATGAGGGTAGATGCACGGTGCACGTTCAACTACAATTCGCTTACCTTGGGCCGCACAAAACCCAGACACCAAAACAACGCTTTGAAGAAGCGATCGAGGAAAGCACAGCAAATAGACAGAGTAACACATCTTAAGAAGCTCGCAGACTTGTAGGCACTAAGCCCTAAACCCTAAAAACCCTTAAAACCCTAAATTCCTAAACTTACGTAGTCACTACATCCGACGATAAGGCGACGTTGCCGAAGGAGTGTCGACCTAGCGGCACCATGATCTTCAACTTGCGCTTTGGCTCTCCTTTTTTTGTTGTCCCTTTTTTAGGGATCCTTACAGGGATGTATAAGGGGATGCTAAACAGTCTATATAAGGGTATTATGAGGGTAGAGAGTTGGCTGTTTTTTTTTTGTGGTGTCTCCGTAGGCTTTTCTCAAGACTCAGGGCAGGGTTCCTTTTAGGTAAGGTTTACTTAACCCTTACCCTCAATAAGGCTTTTGGGCCCAAAGACCCTTTAATATCAATTGGGGTATTTTGATGCTAAGGGTAAGTGTCTAGAGTTTAGTAGGGCCTATAAAGAATTGGAGCCGGGTTCCCCTTATAAGGGCTCGTTGCACTTTTAAGGATTGTTCACCGTGTGGTCTCCGTGCCAAGAGGGCCTAAACAATTCCCTTCATTAAGGAGTATATCTGGCACCATCATACTCAGACCCCTATAGAGCAAGGTGCAGAGCCCAATCATGCCATATGGGGGTAGACAGTAGACATTTCTTCATGGGTTATATGTTATATAGCAGTCGTTGTGGCATTCATTGTCTCGCTACAGGGTTTAGCTTCAGGGTCATTTTGCAGGGATCACATTGATTTTGAGACGTCGTGCGCATTCCTTAGGTCCCCAATACCCAACCTTTAAACTTTTTGGGTTCTTTTATAATTAAGTTTGTAGTAATCGGAAAGTTTATCCCTTTTATTTCCCTGTCTTATTGGGGAAGTAAGATTTACTTGAAAATACCCGGCCAGGGCGCTGGTTCCCAAACTGTGAGTTTTCAAGCGGGTCCATGCTGGCTATGGTCTTTCGACTCACGGGATGCGAGGACTCAGGTCCTAAACCCTGAACCCCTGAACCCCTAAACCCCTAAACCCTAAGCCCTAAATCCTAAACCCGAAACCCTAAATCGTAAACCCCTAAATAACCCTAAACCCTAAATCCTAAGCCGGGTTCCTCCTTGCAGCCAGCTGCCAAGACTTCAACGTGTACAGGAAGGTCAGTTGGTAAAGACTGCTACAAGTCGTCTTTCTGTGTAGGCCCTGCTGTGATTTGGGGAGTCTTCCTCAGTTAGTTAGAAGTCGATAAATTCCTGTAAAGCCATCTAAAAAGCGCTTCAAAGC